ATGTTGGCACATTTGAGTTTCAGATCGCGATGACACTGTCTCTGACGATACAGGATAGAACGTTCAAGTTGGTAGACGACATCCATAAAATCGCGACAAGTGTCCGGGGTCAGGTCGGGCGACGTGGCGAGTTATTTATTGGGCACCGAGGATGGCCCGGCTGGATTTACGAACTCTGATCGCTGCTTCTATTAAGCAGGGAATGCATATTCATCCTGGCCGAGGCTCGCGGCTGTCCGGTGCATTTCTAAAATGGTGTCGTCGCCGCATTTATAACCGGTTCTTCGGGTCCTCGAAATAAAATGGTGTTCGGAGCCTCTTAGCTTCGACTCTTAGCTACACCTTGTGTGGAATTAAAATATTTGTATGTTAGTATCTAAAATTGTGAATTTACGTAAACTTCTGCACTCTACTGATGTGTCTGACATGTACTTACCTTTTCTACTGGTATAAACATGGACGGTGTGATTTGTTTTTCATCGATCTTATTATCCTCTGCACGTCACTGTGTCGTAATTTATTACAGAGTCTGGGTAATACTACACCATTATAAATCGTTTCGAAACCTTAACAAAGATCGGGCTCAGACTACCGTATAAATTCTCAAACTTGACGTCCTCGAATAGAAAAAACATTCGATGAAATATTCCATGTTTCCCGAATATTAATCGTTTATCAGCGCGGTTCCGATTTATAATGTTGAACGAAAGACACTAAGAATGATCGTGTCTTTCTAGTTTCTCTGTTAATTCTCGTTGTTAGCGGTTTAGTCTGCAATAGAAACGAAGAACAGAGCCCCGACAAACGGGCGTTGAACGTTGCGGCGTGCCCGAGTGCAGGAATTTGTTTAATTTATATTTAAACGGGCGGCGCTAGATGAATGGCTGGGGGCTAAATAGAAAGGCGCGATTGGTGGTCCACCGAAATGGTGTCATGTCACGCGTCACTATCTTGGAGATTTCACGCCGTTTTCTTTTTACATGGTACGTCTGGCCGGTCGCTACTTTTTCACACAGCTCGTTTGTCACGGATGAAATCGAATACTTGACGAATCCAGGAACGGGAAGAAATCACCATTAGTCATCGCAAAATCAGGTGAAAGATCGGAATCCAATTCGAGGCACTGGACCAAAAAGTTGCATTTAATCTTCTAAAAAAATTCGATCGATTGTGGAATTTCATGTTCGTTAACTTCTCTGAATGGACTGAACCGAATCGGTAATCAGTTTGCTCGAAGAAGTTTTCGAAGCGATAATAATTCTTTTTCAACATTCTGAAGCAAAATTTTCCCAACAGAGTTACTGTTATGAATTATTATTATTATTATTCTCGTCGAGTCTCTGTCTTGGACGAAAAAGTTGCCGGTCTAGTCTTTCGAGGAGTTTCGATCGTCGGTTCTTTTAACGAGTTTACTGTTACAGACCCGTGAGCTCTGTGTCTCCCTGTATTCCTGGGGCGAGATCGAGCCTCGACTACTCGGAGGAATTGATCGGGCGGGTTGTAGCTATTGCCGAACAACGACGCCCCTTTGTCCATTGATCAAAGTGGAACGCTCGGATTCTAGCTCCACTGTGCGACAAAGAACCGTGTTTAAGTTGCTCTTCGGTACAAAGTTTCCAGTGGAGACTTACGAACCTGTTCCCCTCGAACTGTCTGCCGTCAACATTATCGTTGAGGCTGTCTCCGGCGAGTCTATCGATAAACTCTCCAGTTCCACGTGTCGCTATCGTACCGCGTACGAGAATAAGAGCTAGCTAGCTAAGTAAGTGGAATTCTCAGAATGAAAAATGAACTGAATTTAAATATACAGTAAATCATGAATGAGTGTTCAAAAGTTATCCCCACCATTAGGCGTTTGATTCGTTCTACGAGGAACCACCACAGTGGTAGGAATGTCGTCTGAATACTAAGCGCCGAGGAGCCTTCGAGTACTCATCGATGATTCAGTGTATATAAGAACGAAGAAATATCTTGAAAATTGAGGCAAATCCAGGAGAATCATCTTCGTCTGGGTTAGGTTCCGGGGTCCGTGGCCCCATTCGTCGATCCAAGGGAGAACATTTTCACAATTACGCCTGCCAGCTAGGACGGGTATCGACGAGGTCCTCGAAACAGAGATAATAATGGAGTAGGCGAGAGAAGGCTGTTCTTTGTCGCGCGGATATATCTCAGCCTGTTCCGCTTGCTCGTTTTATTTCCACGCTCGGCTACCCTTCTACCGAGGAGACCGACAAAGACGGGCTTAATCCGTGAAATCCAGGAAATCCGTCCCCGAAGACGACGACCTGGCGAGCGCAGGCTCACCGCAGATTCACCGAGAGATTCTGTTCCGTTTCTCATTTTTTTCCTCGTTCCGGCTCACTGCCACTGAACGAATACTTTTCACCGGCTAAGATAAACAAGCCTTCGCGTGAAATAATCCGAATTTTCCGGGTCGCCTGCGACCTGGATTATACCGAGCCCCGTGAAATTTAAATATTTCCTCGGGTCGACGAGTCGAGCAGGGAGTCGGCGAACAGACTGTTTCCGGCGTCTGCACCTTGCTGGTTCCATCGGTGATCGAGGAATCGTGATTTCAATATTCGCTGGATTTCTCTCGATACTTTTCACGGGTTGGGAGATGCGAATATTCTTATTGAACGGGAGGCAAATTGAATTGTGGCGGTTGTAATGGAAGGTGTGAAAAGGAAAGAAAAGAAGAGGAGAGGAAAGGAAGGGAAAGGAAAGGAAAGGAAAAGGAAGGTAAAAGGAAGGTACGAGGATGGGAAAAGGATGATAAAAGGAAGGAAAAGGAAGGGAGAGGAAAGGGATGTGTCAGCGTTTCGTCCCTGGTCTGATACTAGACTCATCGGTAAGGCTAACCTAGCAGATCCTGCCGTAGAAGCGGGGATATTCGTTGCTCGGTTGAGGACAGTATAGAAAATTGCGATCGCTGGTGAATGTTTTCACGATTCGAGGAACGACGTCGCGTAGTTTGGTATGGGAGTACGCCACGGGAAAAGCTCCTTGAGATGTGGGATATCGAGTGATCTGGGCGAGCTACTTTCAGCTGCGTAGGAATATTCGATTTCGTAGAATGGAGCAGGCCAGCTCTGCCGGAAAACCGCTAGTAAAAGGTTTCGAAGTGTTCTAAAGCGAGGCTGGTTCGGTTTTGAGTATCCGTAAGGTAGATTTCGTCTTGTCTTTGGACTCCGAGAAGTAAGAGTGCCCTTTAGCTGGAATAGGATTCGGATTAGTGCTACCACTTCACCCCGGATTAGCGCTAACGATTATGTTCATTACTGTTTAATGCCTCTTACCTCTGAACATTCTTACTATTTTTCTTCTCTGAATACGTTGGACTAATTCGAAGCTAACCTACCTTATCACCTACCACCTATTAAGTCCGTTTGTTGTCCCTTTGCACTCGATTGTCCCCACTGAAGGATTAGCAGATTCCAAGTGCAAAGGGTTAACTCTTTAATCTCGAAAAAACAGAAGTAATTTTCATAAGAATATTTTCTCGTTCACTTGATACAACACTATTTCATTTCGTAAATATATTTCGAACACTATCAACGAAGAACGCAGATCCTTATGTTACAATAGTCTAGTGTCACGCTTCAAACTTTTTGTCTAACTTGGTATACATGTATATCTACTTTGTACATTATGGATTTCTTTCTTAAAGGGAGAAGGAAAATGTTTCCAGCAAATCGACACCGCGAAAGGTATCTAGTGTTTCGTTTGTTTTCCACTGGAATGGACGTAGAGAGCTACTAATATCAGGTGAGATCGTACGACGAAGTTGGGCGCGCAGTTAGTTCTGTTATGATTACGCGGTCGCGCGAAATATCCAATCCTGATGGAAACGCACGGGACAAGACAACAACTGGCCTCGATGAAAATGCGTGCACCCCCCCCTCCCCCGTTGGCTATGTAATTCGAGCGGCGGAACAACTTCCACTATGGTTCGCCGGGAATACTCTCGGCGGGCGAAACTTTGTCCGGTGCAACTCCGGGACTTGATGGGAATACGGGGTCTCTGCGCGGTTCCCGCTCGTTCGAAAGCGAATTCGTCTCCGAGCACGCTCCCAGAACAATTTTCCACGGTCCCATAGAACGTTTCGAACTCGTTCCGTTTTATAACCAACGGTAAATGCCATATTTTTCGCCGAAATTGCCTTGGATTCGCAACGAACGAACCGTGGATCCTTGGAAACGATCCCTCTGGTCCCCTCTAATGGATTCCTATTGGTTTGGAAAATTATTTACGACTCGATGCGATAAATAAAATTGACACGACAGAAAATTTCATATTACGGAAAGTGTACCTTTGCCCGAGATCTTCTGACAAAGCACGGAATCGATCAACCGTGGCAGGTGACGCGCGCAATCTATCGAAGGGTGTCGATAACTCTGATTAAGTGGAAAGATTCTTTAATTAAATTTGAGCTTGTTTATCGGTACCTCCCGTTGTGGTGAATTCTCCGTAATGGACGGGAGCATGGTGTACAATTTTAGAAGTAAAAAATTTCTAAGACACACGTCGACTTGAATAAGGATTCGTGAATTCGAGCCAGGGGCTTGTTCGACGATATTGAGCGCGCGGTCGCCATCAAATCCTCGTTGAAAAACGCGACGGTATCTCTGTACTTTATTGGCAATCGGATAGGGGCAGTTTCAGGGTTGGATTCTCGAATAAGTAGCGCCGAAACTTGAGACGTTAACGTGGAAAGTTACGAATTTATCGGTCGAGCTTCTATATGGAATCGACAACTTTTATCGGGGTGCCGTCGATCCGCCCGAATAAATCAATTTAATTTTCAAATTATTGGGGTCAGATCCCCGGTGTGCTCTTGTTTTTACGAACGAAACCTGACTTTTCGATACTAGGGCTTCGATGTTATGGGACGGCGTCATGCGCTATCTGGGACGCGATGGTAGCCGTTACATATAATTTTCAAACACCCAGTATGTACCCTCGGTACCTAAATTCCGTTGTGTGTTTTCTGTTTCAGGATCGCGAGTTCGTGGAGATGGAGGTGCCGTACAACGGTGCCCCGAAGAGGCCGGGCTCGCCGTCGCCGTTGACCTCGCCCGCGCACAGCACTGCCTCGAGGGGCGGCCTGCTGCACGCCTGCTGCGGCCGGTGCTACCCCCAACGTTACCAGGTACGCGGTCGCCGTATACTCGCCTCGACGACCTCTATAAGCGAGGGCGCGCCCTCGTCTTCCTCCCACTCTCATCAATCGCAGCCGCCGAGCGGCCAACCGGCCCAGTCCCATTATCAGGTGGTCGTTGACCCGACCACCGTGCCGAACGTCGCGTTCAACGTGCCCGGCGACAACGAACGTCTACGTCGCCAGGGCACCAGCTCCTCCAGCCCCTACAACGAGACAAGGGTGTGAGCCGGGCTCGGGCCAGGGATCAATCGCACAAGAACGTTCATCGTTCCCGTTGATCGCCGGGAACGATCCGTTTCGATCGACGAACGTGATTCACGTCGATCCATGGTACCGTTCACCACGATGTCACGGAGATGCTCGTCTCCTAATGAACGGTATCCCATCCCGGCTGCGAGTGTAGATTTGGCGATCGAGATTGATTCGTTGTTTCGACGACGGAAATGCCCGTCGATGGTGTAGCTTGTTTTCCGAGCGAAAGAGACTTATATAAGGGAGCCCTTAAGTGTTTTTTTAGTTAGGTGAAATAATTGTCGAGGGATAGATTTCGATCTGGTTCTGGTCCGGTCGAGTTTCTTTTCCGAGAAAGGATGATTTTTATCCAATGGAAGCTTCGAAATTCTAATCCCAGAATGCTAGTTTCTAGTCTTGGGTCTAAATCGAGTTCACGTTGCTCGAGATATCAGGGAATCTCAAAGATTCTCCAACTATTTATTCGTTTATCGCTCTTGGAGCTGTCGGTCGTTACGCGATTGGCTCTGATTTCGCGTCGTTAATAGAGATTTACTGTTGTCGATGGGGTGGTCGTACGATCTATCGGTTCTTGTCGACGAACGAAATACGATGACTGTGTTCTCCGATTTGTGGAGGAAACTGGCTGTTCTCCAGTTCTTGAATCATGATCTTGATCCTGTATGGTACGATTTTGGTTTCGGAGGCGGCTTGGAGGCTAATTTCCGGGATTCGATTAAACCGCGAATAGCTCAACCGGTATTCAGATACACTCTCGTCCACAGGTGGTGGGACATTTATCGAATGTTGTACAAACCGGATGAAACATTATCGAATTATAAATAATATTGCCCAAAACTTCATCCAGGGAATCTAAGCTCGATAGACAATCCTTGTAAAGTAGGTGCATACAAAACTGCCAATAGCCCGGTGACTCACATTTCCTGTGTACCATGGTAGAGATATATCAAAAATGTCTAAAACAGGTATTGAAAGTTACCAAAAACAATTTCAAAAAAATGAAGGACCTCTTATGTTAGGCCTTATATTGCACAAATGCGTTTACAAAAACTAACATTACGTGTATATACATATATTAAATTCTGCTCCGTCCGTTATATTTACCTAATATCTTTGCCTAAAGATGTTAACCTAACGTAGAGTTTGACTAACATTTACACGGATCAGTGGCTCAAGAATTATAAAAAAAAAAAAGACATCAACATTTACCGAAAATAATTCACATATGAAATGAATGTGAATTACTTTGGTATAAAATTGTTTACGATAGAAAAAACATTTTTCTCTCATTTACTCAATGGCAGTTTCACGTGTGTACACGAGCTCGAGACATAATCTATCTCAGATATCTCACCGGGTTTCACGGCGAAAGTGGTTGTCCCAGCACTCGCGGAACAAGGGTGCGCGCGTGCTCGTCGAACAATGCTGGGGGGCCGGAGGTAACATAACTCCGGAAACGAAATATCGCGGTTGTTGGCGATATCGAATCCCGGTTGTTAAGCACGACCCCGCGGAGGCTCGCGGCCTCCAACGGGGTCGACTCTCTCTCAAGCACACTGCCACAGGCGAGGGTTCGAAATTCGAATCGGCACTATCTCTCTCTCTTCTCTTCTCTCTGGTGTCGGTGATATTCCCGTCATTTTATCTCTGTGGATCGTTCGGTATGCTCGATAAGAGCTAGATAAATCCGGCCGTCCGGGAATGGGAAGTTGTAAAAATTTCTGCGATGTCTTCCTTCCATCCCGAGAGAAAAGGAAGACTGACGGCTCGCGATATTTCGAGCTGGGAGGTGAACACCGTGTACGTAAAAGCGTGATCGTGTGTGCTCTGTGGAACAGGATTTTCGAAGGTAAAAAATCGTGTTCTTCCTCGATCCGTCCGAGAGACCGATTTCTAGTTTCTCGTTTCAAGGAAACGACACATCGACTCGCGGATGAGCCACGGGATTCACTTCTACATTTCTATGGGACTTTGCGTCGCGTGTATCTGGAGAACGGATATTGTGGAGAGGGCAGAAGAACTGCGCAGGTTGATCACTTTCAGAGTTTTCTGTATTTCGAGACTCGTCGAAGGCGATTTTCTATGTTAATTACTTAACGTTCCAGTGTTGCACCGGTGTAACTCTCCTTTTCGAAATGCAGTTAATATTTAAATTTTTTCTGCAAGGATCTATAGTTTTACCGATGTGAAGTAGATCTTTACGTTTTTTGTTCAGAAATTCAGACATTTCCTGCATAAATAAATTTAAAAAAGTAGGTCTGTTTAATATCGATGATACTAAACTTCATTTATTTAGAGATCAAGAAAATTGATAGATTGATTATATTTATGGATTCCATAATCTCCTGGACTTCCGAATTCCAGAAAATTTTTCAACATACATTACTATGTAAACTTTGATCTAACAAAAGCAAATACACATTTGCAACAGGAGAAGGCATCTGTTAGTATAGATAGTAGAAAAGTGAATAGTAGAACTTTCGGATAATGGAGGCTCTACTATAAAATCTCTGTTAAACCAGACTTGTTTTCAGACTGCGTGACAGTAAAGACGCATTGAATGTTAGGTTCATCCCGTGTCTTGTCTTACAAGCATAACAAAACAACACGAGTATCCACGGTAGCGTGTTGCTCGAGCATCAAGTTAGGACGGAAGGATTCGTCCTGTTGGAATTCCTCCAAAATCCATCCGAAGGGTTGGAGAACGCTCTGACGAAATTTTATTCCGGTTGATCCACGTTGATCAGCCCTACCACGAATCGATGCTGCCGCTTCGCCTCCATCCAGTTCTTACTTCAGATTTTCTGTTGATGGTCGACACAGACCGAGGAATCGTCTAATTTCCACGGTTTTTCTTCGTAACAAATTTCTGTGATAATCCCGTCTTCGAGAAGAAATTTCGTTCCTTGTCATACAATACATCCGATATACACTTCCTCGGTGTTGTTAGGTGCACTGATAATTTATACAACTCTGTATTTCCGTCTGAATAAGTTCAATATCCATGAACTACCTTAACAATAGTCATTATTTGACTCGTCGGAAGATCAAAAATCAATCTCATCGAAATCACAGTGGATCACTTACATGGTATATCGAATGTATCTTGGATCACGCCTGTTCCAGACAGTTAAGTCTCTTTCCCGAATCTTCTTGAAAGATCATTCCACGATTCGAAACACTGAACCGATACGCGTCCCGCCAACGAATCAATTAATCGTTGGCTCTTGGTCTCGATCGAGCCGAGACTAGGGTCTTATCGTAGACTAGCTCTAGATACTGTCGTTGTCGCCCGAGGACCGGGATTCTAATTGAAATAATCTAGCCTTAACCCCGCAAACAGTCCTCGTGGCGAATTCTAAATCGATGTTGTGTAGTGACTCTGCTAGAATCACGCTGGAATCCGCTCAGCCCGGGCGTGCTCCGCCGCGCGGCACTTTATTTATCGGCGATCGAGATAATCGAACCCTGGTGTATATCGAAGTGAAATTCGACGGTGGCACGCCGGGTTCGGCAGCGTCCGCGTCTCTAATCGTCCACCCCCTGTAAGTACGTATCCCGTGAGTTTTCCAGCGATTGATCTGTCCGTATCACGGATCGATCGAAACGTGGCTCGTGATCGTTCTCTAAATCGAACTCGGTTTCTCTGCGTTGTTCTTTTGGCAAGATAGTGTACGGATTGCGAATGGTGTTTGCTGCAAGCTCCTCTATTTCCATCCTTCTTATTTACACAATCCGTGTAGGTTGATTGTCTATATATCAGAGGTATCTACGTGTGAATTCTCATGCTTAGAGAAGTTCCTGTATTTTGTGAATCTCGGTTCTTCCCACTTTAGCTTCATTAAACTTTGATCCCTCTGCAACCTTGTCTTTGTTATTTTGTGACTCTGACTTTGTGGTTGCTGTATTGAATGTATATATGCGTCATGAAAACATTCCAATGACTTGTTTTCCGTTCTGTTGGTCTTCCCTTTTTCATTTGGAAAAATTAAGGTATCGTGTGCATGGTGACCGATAGCTTGGTGAAAAGTTGGAAATTATAGGATGTTCCTGGACGTGTTGAAACGGTGCAAAGGTTTCCAGTGTCGAGAATCCGATGCGTATCGACTGCGCCTGGTTCCGAGCGGCGTATATATCGACTCGTAAATCAACTTCCACGTAGCTAGGGGCGACGTTAACGAGGGAAAATGAGAAGTGATAAATGGTCCGGTCGGCTGACAGATCGAGGACGAGGCCCCATCGAAACCCCATTAAGTGTCGTTCCTCTCCTATCTCTTCGCCTCCCCCCGAACGCCATTTTTCAGTGGTCCACATCGTCCTCCGCAACCCCTTACACACGCCCGTCCGTCGCCACGTGTTAATCGTCGATTAACTTGAAAATTCTTCGTTGACCCTTCATCACCGTTCCTCGTTCCCTTCAACAAGATTTCCGTAAATTGTCCTTCTAGATTAATCGCCCCGAAATTGAAACCGTTCGTCTGGAACGTTAATCAGTCCCTGTTTCGACTTTCGACAGTCATTAGCGTAATTATTACACGCTTTGTTTGAAACATGATATATTTTAAAAGCCTCAGTAAACCTAGTATAGCGTCACTATCCCGAGCATAGTGTGTAGTAAGTACTTCTTAGAGAGCTTACTGCTTTGTCATCATATTCAGCGATCCTGAATCCCTTTCACGTCCAACGGATAACAGAAAGAGACAGATAATATCTGTTATTAACGCTTCTAACTGGTT